TTAGGATATTATCACATGTCTGATATTGATGCGATATCAGGCACTGTGCACCCTAGACAGGTCCCAGGTCTGCTGCAGAGCAAACACACAGAAAACTTCACTCTCACACTCACACAAACCTAACATGCATGTCTTTGGCCTGAGAAAGGAAGGCAGAGCACCCGAACAGAACATGCAAACGCTGCACACCGAACCCCAAATCCTAATCCTTAGACATCCGGTGGATTCAAACCCAGTACCTTCTCTTTACAATATCAGTTCTGCATTAAATATCATGGTTATCATCAGTACTGCGTTACTGCAACATACCTCTATTAGACATACACTAAAGGGCAGCTGCCCCCAAGTGTTTTTGCGCCACGGACCGGTTTATGTCCGACAATATTTTTATTTATTCAGAACACACGCAAAAAGACCCAGAGAAACAGAGTTAATGATAAAAACGATTAAAAAAAAAACCCCGCTAAAAACTGATAAAAACCCTGAAAACCATAAATTTCACACCCGAGCCTCAACTCTCGCGGCCCGGTACCGGTCCTTGGCCCGGGGGTTGGGGACCATTGCTATAGGGTATGAGTAATAGGTGTTTTTACATATATTCTGTCTTCTTGACTACATTCAAGATAAGACCCTTTAAAAAGGCAGAACAGTTCAGTAAATTCCCACAAAAAAGCAGCAATGGAGTACAGTATTTAATATTGGGCTCTCAGAAACCACTAGCCCCACCTGCCCATTGTTTTCAGTATAGTAACATTATTACTATACAACACAGGGATGAAGCTGATTCATTAGAGAGATGTACACAAAACTACTTACAAATAACAGTAATTAAAATTAGTACAGCTTATAGAATACCAGGTTTCATATACTCACATATGCCTGAGCTTAATGAACCTTGCATGACTCGACTTCGAACCAGAGGCAATCACTGCCAACAAAACAAGTATGAAAGGACTCCTTATATTATAAGGCCCAGCTACATAAAGTAAATTGCAGTCCTATCCCAATTAATTTGGGCCATCCACTGCCTGAGATGAGCATTCAGCTCTACATTATTCAGCACACACAGATTTGTGTGGAGCGATGACAGAAGGACCTTGATGCTGCTAAGGTTCCCCCTATAATGAGCCCTATAATTAGATAGCTGCTGGAGTTGGGTGGGTTAAATTTGTGATCACAGCAGGGATCATCTGTTCAAGGTTATAATGTTCTCTGCAGCAAGCGGCCAACACTGCTGTGAGGGGTGTATTTTGGGATGATTTAATCAATCAGAGTGTTTTGCATAGACCGTGTGATGTAGAGATGCAGACGTGGCCTTAATCAGATGCGGATTCAAATGTTGGACACATGTTCCAGGTTATAACCCGGCTGTCACTGAGTGGAAGTGCCCTTTTAAAGTTCCTGTAGTCAAGCTTGAGCCACTGTCTGTTATTAAAGTGAAATCATTTCTTTATATAATCCTCTGCATTTTTCACACTCACCTTTTGTAGGAGATTTTCTGCTTCCTCTTGTGGCAATCCAGCACCCAATCCTTGTGTACGATGATTCCACCCGCTGATTTCACCTGGCTGTACTTGGGGGTGTTAGCGAAGGCACAGCTGCAGATTAATGGGTCGAAAGAGATGCACGGACACACGGAGACACGTATGGTTACATCAGTAAAGAGACGCTAACAAGAGCAGGCTGTTCTGACAGCAGAGATCAAGATGCAATCAAACTGAATTACTGCGAGTGCTGACAGGACTTTTACACAAAACTCTGATCTTTTTCAAAGATGATAATCGAAATCACACACACACACAAACCCATCTGAAACAATTACAACAGAGATCTCTTGCAAGGCACGTTTGAAATTTTGTTGAAAGATAACGTGATCTCGTTATTTACCGTGATTATTTTCAGAGATCATTGTGATATTTCAGCTTGAACGTCTCACTCAACATTCAATTTTAAAACTATTTATAAAAAGCATAGCTCGAACACGTTTTCCTTCTGCTTATCTCCCTTCATTTTTATCATGTGCCAACTTTCTGCAGTTTCACCACAAATTGATCTTTTGCCTTATCTGCAGCTCTTTTGCATTTGCTCATTTATCTCGGCGCATTCTCTTGGTGAATCTTATATTTGTGAGTTGTCCTTGACACCAAAGGACGGCAGTAAACAATGTCCTTAACAGCTTGAGCTGATGTGGTAAAATAAAAGCCATATTTTAGTAAAACTAATGTTGTGTTGGTGGTGCCAACTAAACCCAACAATGCTGTAAATGAAGTGAGTTTTTGCACGAGGCTAGGAAAAAACACCCCAAATGTCCTTTGGAACAGTAGGTACTATAAATTTTTACTGTTCTAAAATCCTAAAAAATAGCAGAGAAAACTGATATAACTTTAATGTCTGTCCATAAAGCATAAGACTAGAGGATAGAGCCTGCAGCTGTTAGCCCACCACAAAGACAGAAATGCCAATAAGTTATTCAGAAGTTTGGATAAGCAGGTTTTGTTAACCTTGAACAGTACCAGACTCCCCGTTTCCCACTTTTTGTATAATACACTAACCACCCGCAGGCTTTAGCTCCCCATTCACTGAGCAGACACGGACAATGGAATAAATCTTTTCATCTAAATTCAGTAGTATTAAATTCAAGTGTTAAATTCAGGGGTGAATTAAAGTTATGAATGCTAGATTATGCCAATCCATTCCTTTCAGCAACTTACATAAGATGTGTGGCGTCAGGCGTCCAATCGGGTCGATACTTGGCTCCCATTTCCAGCGCTTTTTCTCTCAGCTCCCCTCGGAAGGGGTTCTGAAATCCACTGAGGACAAACACCACCCCCTCCATGAGCCGGGTGAATGGGACCTGCTGCTCTTTCTGGGATTTTGCCTTCTGTTTAGTTTTAGGCTCAGGTTTAGACTCACTCTCCCTCTTCCTGTCAGCAGCCTTCTGAACTGGTGATGCTGTAGAGATTATGAGAAAACTCAAGGAAAGTTCTCCACATGAATAAATAACTTCTTGCAAAGATTCCGAGACTGTGTTACCTTTGGCCGTGCTTGGGCTGGGTGTACTGACTGAACTCGGCTTGTGTTTGGGGGTTGCGGCTTTACCCTCAGGTGAACCAGATGGACTTTTTTTCTTCGAGGGAGGAGGGCTGGGGGCAGATTGTCGCTCTTTGCTGAATTCAAATTTCCTTTTTGCTGGTGGCTAGAGGTGACAATTCAGAGTTGAAATTACTATTTCATGCCTGAAGTCTGCTAACACCTTGTACCAGTTTATATTATTACTATAGTCTATAGATAAAATCAATGAAGTCATGGGGAAAGCAAAAGAATTATCGAAGGATCTGTGGGAGAACATAGTGGAACTTTATATATAAAGGAATAGAGAATCAGCACTGTTCAAATTCTATTTAACAAGTGGAAAATGAGGGATTGACAATGACAATGAAATCAAAACAAAACAGAAAAATGATCCAAAGCCAGAAACAATCAGAAATTTCACCAGGATTTGTAAACTTACGTGCACAACTGTATCTAACAGGGGTAGCTTTCAGCTGGCTTTACTATGCACAGGCATGTATTTGTGCAGCTCATTGCAGCAGGTGGCTTTTATTCAATTTTCCTTTCAAAAGCCAAAGTGACATGCGGCTGTCACTTCCACGTGTCTGAGCCCCTCCTACTTTCCTTCTCAAGGTGTCCTCAGGCAAAATAACAATGGTGCATTTTCATGTGTGTCATGTACACATGAAAAAAAAATACACAATGTATTTTAGGCTTTCTTGGAGGTGAAGGTAAATTTATTTCACAACAGTTTCCTATTTTTCAACCATATGGTTTTGTCATGATAATAAACCGGGGAGCACACGTGTATTTCTCTTTCAGTCAAGCTACCTTAGCCTAACGTTACTCCAGTTTAAATACGTGCATTTACAAAAAAGTTCATAT